GCATGCACGTATAGAATATGTACTCAGGATTTTTTTTTGTTACACACACACACACACACACACACACACACACACACACACACGTACACATACTCAAACATTATTTTTTTGTATTCCGGAATTTAATGTCTTTGGCGACAGATGGGTGGAAAGCCTTAAAACATTCCCAACAACCCAACTTCAATAAAAACCTCAAACCAGAGTCATTGGCACCATTGCCAAGCAAGATACCGACTGAGCTACAGTCGCACCCAACATAACAATTTCGGGATAATGTGATGCACACCTGATGCATGCACGTATAGAATATGTACTCAGGATTCTCACTCGCACGTGATCTCATTCCTCTTGGTCTTATCAGTAGTTCTCTCTGCTCAGGTTCAAGTACGTAATGGAATAGCTCTCATCAGAGTCATGCAGGTTAAGTGAGGTTCACACACGCCCGGTTAGTCGGGTCAACGCGATTAGATTCTGGCAGAAAATCTGACGGGCTGAATATCTTTGTGCTACGACGTGGTGAAATGAAGCGCTCGTCAGTTTTTGGGCATACGTAGAGATTGTTATCATCTTATTAAGGAGTGTTCATTTGCCTTGCTTTTGATGAAAAAAACAATGCCCATTTTAAAAAAAATAGAAAATGAGATATTTGTGATTAAAGGAAGTTGGGGTTGCCTGGTGTCAGAGGCTAAATAGCAAGAAAATGGCAATAACAGTTTCGTGCCTTCCAAAGCTTAAATACGATGCGATAAGATACGGTGTGATACGATATGATGCGATGCGATGCGATGTGATGCAGCCCAATCAAGTCTTCTTCAACTTCTCCTTTCTTTTTTAAAATGTCTTTTCCTCTTTTCTCTACCTTGCTTTAGACATCAACACCAACAAGAGGTTTCTCCGGATAATGGACGAGTTCTTCGACTACAAATCTCGAGAATTCCCAGAGTACGCGACATACGTCGGTTACCATGACTACGACGACGCCTTGGAGTCTTTCCAGCTGCAGGCCTTTGACAGGCGGAAGGTATGTCCTAGGCTACTGTATGTTGTCAAATTTGTTTGTGTAGTGTTTATTGTAATAATAAGAAGAAGAAGAATACTATTAATAAAAAGAAGAAGAAGAATAAATAATATAATCATAATATAGTACTAGTAATGATGATGAAAATAATATGTATTCAACCCTTCTGTATGGCTGTGAATGCTGGGCAATCTTTAAAGACAGTGAAAATAAAATAGAAGCAACAGAAAATGTAGTTTTCCCACTCTCAGGTGGCTCGAGGAGAATTAGTGCAAAATAAGATTTTAATCAACGGGACACATACTATACACACTTGTAAGCTGACAAAGAACACACACACACACACACACACACAC